TCATAATTACATGGCAGTTCACAGCCAGACTTCCCTGTTGTCCTGACTCTCCCACGGAAGACCTGCCTGTTCGTGACTCCACCTTCCAGCCCTGCCTTCCTCCAGGACTTGTTTGCGCAAGTAGCCCAACCTCTCCCTGTGAAATTCACTGAGTACCACTCCACACGTAACAGGGGATTGCGTGGGACCTAAGAAAATGATCATTAGAGCTCCCATTTATAGAATGTTTACTTTGTACCTCATGCTGGGCTAAGCTCTTCATGAGCAGGGTCTCATTTCATAATACTACTCCAAGTACATAACCTCAGTGCCACACTTGAGGAAAGGGAGGTTCAGAGACCTTGAATAAGTGGCCAAAAGTCATACAGCTGAGGAGGTCCTGCCAGGCTCTGAGCCCAAATCCAGCTCCAAAGTCCAGGCTCCAAATCACCAGAGAATACTCCTTCCATGAGAGCCTGCTTCTAGAATTCAGGCCTTTTCAAATTGTTATGACGTCCCACCCATGATTTGCCAATTCTAGACACAGATATAACTCCTTCTAACTTCTCCTTTCCTTGCAGTTGCCTCTTGGATGGTGATAATTTTCTCTATTATATCATTCTGATTTCTTTGCTGAATGGGGAAGAATTTACATTAGTTTTTCCAAATGTAACTCCAATATACCACATTCTAGTTTAGTATATTACTATTCTGAAAAGTGTGCTGCTTGGAAACTTCAAGTGGCCTTGAGTAACTTATAAAGAATTGTGTTGAAGCTATGTGTATTTTTATTGTGTATAATTTCACAAGTATGTGATGGCTATCTAATTATAGTCTGTAGTTCACAAAGTCATACTTTACAACAATATTTCCTTGGCAGATATTTCACCAGTCCCTGGGGTCAGCAATGCAGGGGAAATGGTCATTCTAGGGCTTTAGAGATTTTGTTGTTGACGAGGTGGTAAAGCCATGTTCTAGGCATTCCTGAAACTTACCACTGCATTTCCCAGCCGAGCTAATTGTCCCTTCATTTCCTGATTTTCCCTCCCTGCTTGGGGGATCTGGCAACACTTTAAATGCATTCACTATACACTCTGAGGCTCAGGGGATGTCCCTGAACAGAAAGATGACAGTGCAGAATTCCATTCTTCCTCTTTGTCACCCAGGGCCCGGACCTGTGGGTTCTGCCTTTTTTCCATCTTCTAGATCCTTCCCCAGACCCACCTGTCTTTGAGTCTTTGTGAAACAAGGACACAACCACAGTTTTCGAAAATACAGACTTCTTGGGATTCCCTCAGAGCGTGGAATCTCCACACACCAGACAGTTTTTAAAGGAAACTACTGAAATAATTTCTTCAGGCCAATCTCAATCCATTCCTCAGGCAGAGGAATAAAAGCAGCTTTATTACTGAGGGCTTCCTCTCCTCCATGCAGCTTATCTCTGAGAGACAGGCTTTTATCTGCACCTAGTTCACACGAAAACACAGTGAGGGGTATTGTGATCTCCATACACTCACAAGGAAAACAGCCAGAAAGGGTAGCTGAGGCCACTAAGTTCCATTTGACCTGCATCGTAAGAATTATTCATGAGAGAAAAACCTGTTATTCAAGAATAAAACAGGAAAAAAAAGTGTACATTTTTCTACCGCTGCAAAATGCCATGAGGACTCCCCTACGTCTTGCATTCTTCAAGGGCTCAGTGAAAGGAGAGATAATAATGAAGGAAACCCTGTTGGCTCCATCTTCAGACTGTGTCCTGAGTCCCACCCGCTCCATAGATAGCTACCCTGTTGGTCCAAACCACCATCCCCTCTCACTTGGGTCACTGTGATGGCCTCCTAACTGGTCTTCATGAGTCCGCCCTTGCTCCCCTTCAGCTTATTAGCAACAGAGCAGCCAGAATGACCCTGTTACACCCAAAGTCAAACCAGGTCCCTTCTCTGATCGGAGCCTTCCCATGGCTCTTTTTGCTCTGAAAGGAAAAGCAGAAGTTGTTAGAATGACCAATGACTTTGCCCACCCTGGCCCTCCTGTGCCTCTGTGACCTCATCCTCTACTGTTCTCCTGCTGGTCCCAACCTCACTCCTGACTTAGGGCCTTGGCTCACCTGTCCCTCTGCCCGGACAGTCACTTAGTTACCTCCTTTATCTCCTTTGAGTCTTTGCTCAAATGTCATCTACTCAATGAGGCCTTCCCAGATCCCCCAAATTAATAACAACCCTTCCCTGCACTCAAATCCCCAATTCCCCAATCTCCTTTACTCTCTTCACTTTTCTACCATCACACTGAAACCACCTTTTCACAGACGCAGTTCACTCATTCCCTGTGTTCATTGGCTGCTTCCTCCCATTGTAATATCCAAGAGACTGGGGTCTTCATTGTCTCTTTTGTTCATTGATGTATGAGTAGACACTGGAAGAGTGCCTGCCACGAAATAGCCACTCAGATACTTGGCAGATAAATAAATACGTGCTAAGATTACTGAAGTGTTCCTCTTTGTATTTCACTCTTTCCTTGCTTCCCCAGAATAACCATGATGCCAGCCTCCTTGAAATCTGGGATAATTTAAAGAGTCATGCATTAAGAAATGAACTTAAAAGTGATTTTCAAAATTATAGCCATATTATTCAGGATTCTGACATTAATATTGAAATACTATGGCACCTCTATGCTTTCTAAATCCTCACAATAACTTAATCATATCAGGGACAAAACTAACTGAATTATTCTCTACTGTTGAATCAAGAATTTAACTGATCTGCTGTTTTTTTCACATTTTGGTGTGCTGTCATATATAAGCACAGCTCTGATTTTTGTGAGGGACTATTAAAAGCTTTGTTAACTAGCCTATGTGACATTTTCCAGGCAGAACTGCCATGATCCCAGCATGTGTGGATACACCAGTATCTGATCCTCATTAAAAATGATTATTAAAATATAATGAGTCCTCATCTCTAGAGTAAGAATTTCCTTGAATGATATGAGATCAATGAAATCTAATACTATCTTCTTTCTCTCAACAAATACTGACCAAGTGTCTGCTATGACAGACTTATTACTAGATACTGAGGTCTCAGAGATGAGCCACAACCAATCCTTGTCCCAGAAGAGTTCAGTCTAAGGAAGGAAGGTAATAGGTAAATGCCTAACAATTCTAAGACATGCTAAGTGCTATAGCAAATTCATTGAAAAGTGTTGTGAAAACATGGAAGAAAGAATAGTTTAAAAAAAAAAAAAAAGCCTTGCTCTGGCAAGTGTGACTCAGTTAGTTGGAGCGTCATCCCAAAGACTGAAAGGTTGCAGGTTCGATTCCCACTCAGAGCACATGCCTGGGTTGCAGGTTCAGTCCCCAGTTGAGGCCTGTAGGAGAGGCAACCGATCAATGTTTCTCTCTCGAATCCATGTTTCTCTCCCTCTCTCTCTCCCTCCCTTCCCCTCTCTTTAAGATCAATATGTGTGTCCTTGGGTGAGGATTTAAAAAAATTCCTACATTATCATTGTACTTTTTACTTTTTTATTTAAAAATGTTTATTAAGCTCTTACTATGTTCCAGGCACTATGCTTGTCCTTTGGAATGAAGACGTAAGAAAGATGCAGTCTTCTTAGGAGGAGCTCCTAATGATTATATTGTTCATGCTGATCCTACATGTGTGGCTGTAAACATTGATTCTTGAAATGCCACTTGTAAAAATGACCAGTTGCAACTGGTGAAGCTTTAAGAGCATGGCTTTTCCATGGTGTAGTTACTGGACACTGAATGGGCCAGGAAATTCATATCCAAAAGCTTGTGCTGCTGAACAGTGTAGCCTCTAATCACTGCATGTCTGTGCCAGACAGACTGGTGGCTGTGAGTTCCAGGATATATTTCAACCAAAGGAAGCACCCAAGACTCGTCCCTCCTCTTGTTCATTATCTTTCCTTTGATTCTTCCATGATGTAACAAGGTTTGTGTAAAGAGGCCAAATGGTTCATGAACACTTAAAATTTTTAATGTTTTTATGGTGAGAGTGAACAAGTAAGAAAAACCAAGAAATACCTTCAGCCATCTTTTGTGAACATGTAAGCATTGAGGAATGGACCAGGGATACCTATGGATTGAATTGCTCATCACTTTAAGTTAATGTAGCACCCAAAAAGGTAAGTTTGCTTTACATCAAAGTGTATTATGAAGTCTATGTACAATGATATGAAGGTGTATTTAGCTGTAATGTGAACATAAATTTTGTCTTACAACCATTAGCATAGTTGAAAAATGACAGTAATAAAATTAACACCAGATATAGTACTTAATCTATACTAGGTACTAGTCATAGAATAAGTAATTCAATCACCTAAATGATTCTATGAGTTTAAAAACCATGATTACCATATTTTACAGGAGAAGAAAGGCTCAGCTAGACTTACTAACCCAAAGTCACTGCTAATAAGCAGCAGAACTGGAATTTGGACCCATGTGATCGGGTTTTACAGTATGTTATATTACCACACAGGTAAGACTAGCAGATTAGCCACATTCATCACTTAACTCATATTTCAGCAGGGTCTGTTCATATTAAGTGGATGTTTGCACTCAGGAATGAGTTAGGGGAAAAATGCTTAACGTGTAATCCTGGTTTAGGAAATTTTTACCTTTTAAATGTTTGTTATCTAATATCCCAAAGCCTTAAAATAAATTTCTGTTGCTTAAGACAAAAATAAATAAATAACTTTGAAGAGATACTTGGTGCCTAACCAAAATATTACTAATGATGAAAAAGAAACACGTCATACAATTAGTACACAGTGCAAGACACACCCCACTAATTATCCCTCTTAATGTGAAGTTGGTTGTCTAGCTACGATACATTCACTTTGCAGGGCATAGAATTCAAGGTGCTGTTAGCTCTATGCTCTGCTGGACCTATAGCTTTGATAGTGAGTGGTGTCATTTTGAAGAAAACTGCTGAATATTTTATAGCAAGGTGACTTTATAAGCAAAAATCTTCAAGAAGATTTTATGTGATTTTTAAAAATCAACTTAGATGTTTGGAATTTGGATTGCTACATTCTTATTCTTTGGCACATCAACAGGTAAGACTCATAACTTATAATAAATTCCTGAAAAAGGAGTATATTCATATCCAAAATGTAATTGACATGGACTTTGAAATATGGGTCCTGTTTATACCTTGATTTATTTGTCATAAAATTATCTAAGGAAAATGCATCAATTTTATAATGCTGAAGGAATCTGAAGAGCAATTGTGACACATCTGTTTCCAATGATATAAAAGTCTTGTTCTTGGCTCCTGGATCTTGGCTCTTGGCTCCTGATAGTCTTGTTCTTGGCTCCTGGATCTACCATTTACTGGCCTTGGTCAAGTAACTTATCCATTGAAGTCTCAATTTCTTCACTTCTAAGGTAGATATGTGACAGTAAATGTGAAAATACACATTTCTGATTTCAGTTCCTGACTCACAGTAGATGCTTAATAAATGCCAGAAGGAAGGAAGGAAGGAAGGAAGGAAGGAAGGAAGGAAGGAAGGAAGGAAGGAAGAAAAGAAGGAAGGAAGGAAGGAAGGAAGGAAGGAAGGAAGGAAGGAAGGAAGGAAAGAAGGAGGGAAGCTAATGCTGACTGGAACTTCCACATTGATTTTTTTTCCATTTGTGTCATGATTTTTGAGAAGAAATATTGGTCTGTGGACATTTCTTACACATTAACTCAGTATTCATTGATTTGTGTTCTTTGTGCTGTGTATTGCTTATGCATTTACTATGTGCTAGTTACTGGTTTTGTTTGTCCTTGCCACCCAAGTTCAATATTGTATCTATCCTTTGTTATATTGGCCATTAAATTATTGGTCCAACTTCACCTTGTTAATTTTCTAGCAAACATGTTATTTTTCCCTAGAGGACATTAATACATATGATGTTGATCAGTCTTCTACATCACCTCTCGTTTCTTCTAACTTTATGTCCTCTTTATGGTATTCCCTTATGAAAAAAAAAATCATGGTAACCAATAACCCTGGTCAGTTACAAATAGAAAACATGGAACATTAACAACAATCTTCATTTCAAAACCCAAACTCTCTTCCATAGACTGGATAATGTAGTTGAGAACCTAGGGGTAAAGCCATGGAATGAAAAAAATAAAGGCAGCTGGACTTCTAGGAAAAACTGAAGGTTGTATTAGAAAGGCAAAATCCAAATGTGAAATCATTGCTCCAAATAAGAGCTGCATATATGTATGCTTCAAGAGAAAAAACAGAATGGATTGCAGGCAGGAGATGTATTGATGAGAAGCTGCACTAGGGATATATTGAAGGAGGCATGTTTACACTCCCAACAAGAGAAAACAAAGACAACCTAAGAAACCAGGAAAACAAAAATGGCACAAGAAAGCCATGGTCCAAGTATGGTGCAAACTAAAATAACACTAATATTGAGCAATTCACATATAAGAAAAGGGAATTCATGTGACTATCCTCCTCTGAAGGGGATAGAATCTGAGCAACGGGCATGAGAAGAAGGATATTAATTACAGCATGGTAGCTGGCTCTGGAAGGAAAAATATTTATCTAGTTGTAATCATATAAATTCTGTTTATTTATTTGTGGAGTCAGCCTACAGACAAAACATGGAAGACTTGATTATGATTATAGAACAAAGTCTGAGTGTTCTCATTGGTGTCAGCATGAAAGAGGAAGTGCAGCTGACACACCTGGGAAGGTGAAAGGGAGGACGAGAGGGAGAGGCAGCTGCACTTTCAAGTTCATGTTGCAAAGGTAGGGAGTCAGGATATAGGAATATGAGGTATGGATCATGAAACAGAAAATTACTATTTAAGTTTACAGCAGAAGCCAATGAATGAGCTGACAACAGTGTTGTTAATCATACAGGAGGAGTAGCTGAGAGGACAGGCTGGCTATTGAGCTGTTGTCCCTCGGCTTCAAGCTGGTCCCCGCTTTGCTAACATTGGGACAGGGCAGATATTTCAGCCATGGCCCCGTAGGCATTGTCAATAAGGGGGATTGGGATGCTAGAAGGAGAAGGGAGGTCTTCCTTCCTGTTTGCTCGTGGTTCCTGTCTAAATTTTTCCATCAATGGCTTTTCACTCCAGCACAGCCCTTCCAGTGGCAGCTCCCACTGTACGATTTACCTGATACTCCCTGAACTAGACTCACGATGCCCACGCAGTGATGCCAACAGTAGCGAGCCTGCACCCCTCCCCAGGGGCCCAAACCCCAGTTCTGGAGAACCCACACCCCCTCCCCCACCTAGCGACCCTGACCTCAAGTTTCCACATGTGGGTAACTCAGCCTCTTCCATGTCGTCTGCCAGCCTTGGAGCTAGCAGCTGCTCCCTGCAGTTACTGCTTCCCAGCGACTTACAGGGGCTCCTGGTGTCTTCAGTTCCCCAAAACCTGATTAATAACCATTATTATATTAGAGTCACACAGTTAAAATAACTGATGTGAATTCTCTCTCTTGCTCTGGTTTTGGCTGATCCAGGGAATAGGTGGGTTAAATCCTCATTTATTACTGCAGCAGTTAATAGATCATCGTGACTAGAGCTGATAAATTAATTGCGACTTGGCTGTGTCAGCACATCATGCAGGCATGGGGGGGGCCATAGGAACCGCATGTGTTTTGAGTGGTCACCTCTGGGAAGAGGGCTGGGGCTGGGGCTGGGCAAGGGTGTTGCTCATTTGTACAAATTTTAAAAAAATGTACAAACATTTATTAGGTTAAAATTCTTCCTCTTTACATTAATGTGGAATCTCATTCTTGAGAATGTGAAATCTCCTAAAATTTTGAAGTTAAAAGTTGGTGGATTTGAGAGTTAAAGGCTTATTTAGTATTTTTTATTAAGTAAGAAAAGAGAATCCTCAAATTCAAGTCTTCAAACAGCTCTAACAAAAACTAACAAATGACTATAGAGTGAATAGATTACAATAAACGTAATAAATAATAACAATAAATTGAATAATTCGATCACAAACTGAATAATTACAAATTATAATCATAATTGAATAAATTGAACTATCCCTCCACAAAACAGTGTGAAATGAAGCTATTTGTTTTTAAGTATTAAATAAATGAAAACAAAAGGTCATAGTGACAGCATTATTTAGAGTCAGAAATGATTAAGACTGAGTTTCCCCAAAGCCTCTCATTTTAGGGATGAGTAAAGTGAGCTCCAGAAAGAAGAAATTTGATTACAAGTGAATGAAATTTTGCTCCCATATATGCTCTGAGGAAATGTACATTAGACCTCTAGGATCTGGGGACAAAGAGATCCCTTTGATCAAGAGCTTCCAGCCCAACAGAAAAAGGTAGAAGCTCAGCATCTCATTTCAAGTTTCATGCCCAGACACGGGGGGTTCCTGGGTTACAGCTCACTTGGCCTTCATAACAAGGCTGTGAGGTAAGTAGTAGTATCCTCATTTTGCAGAGGAGGAAAATGAAACTCAAAAAAAGCTTAAATAATCGCCCAAAGCCAGGAGTATCTGATTCCAAAGCCCATGCTTTCAAATCCACAGCGTCGCGATCTCCAAGGCCACGGTCCTAAACGGGGCAGAGGAGAGCGTTGTTTGAAGAGATGCTCCCTGAGACACACTTGTTTGACTTAGAGACTCATTTCAATTAACCTTCAGAGTGGGAAACACAGCCCCTCTGTGGGCCTGGTTCCTGCTATACCAACACTCCATGTTTCTGTTGCAGGAAAAGAAGTTTGCTATGAAAGGGTGGGGTGCTTTAAAGATGGCTTACCGTGGACTGGGACTTTGTCGAGGCAGTTCGCCGGTTTGCCCTGGTCTCCAGAGGAGATAAACACCCGCTTCCTGCTCTACACTAGACACAACCCCAAAACCTACCAGGTAAGCTAGCCTGCTGCCTTCACTATAGATTATTTTAAAATAGAAGCTGTGGCCACAGACATAGAAGACAGAATAGGCGGTAGCCTATTCTGGCATAGACTATTGATTTCAAGGCAAGTACAAAATTTTTTCTTACAATTGGGAGCCTGATTCTCTTCTCATATTATTTGTCCTAGTATTTAAATATGAAAATGGCTCTGAATACATTGTTTCCTATGAGGTAAATCTGATATTTTTTCCAGTTAATATAATGAGAGCCTTCAACAGGCAAGACTGTGATCAAGGCATATTACCTGTTCTGTACTCATATTAAATCAAATAAGCAAGACACTGTCTTAAGTGTATTGTATTAGGGGAAAGAGGGTATATAAACAAATACCTTTATTGCCACACGAATTGTGGTTTGTGATCTAAGCTCTGGGAATGCAGTGAGGAAGGGCTTACCTTCCCTGGGGGCATGGAGACAATAACCGGGAAGGGCTTTGAAGAGGACACACATTTGGGGTGTGTCCTGAGGATGGGTAGGGTTCTTACACGGATCAGACAGGGAGAGGGCGAAGAAGTGACCTGGACAAATACTGGGTTCAACTGGGGACAGAAAGGAAGTCCTCAAAGGTAGAGTTAGTGAGCAAAGTAGACAGAAACGAATTGTGTAACTGCTTCCTGTGGAGTTTTGATTTCATCCTTGGAGCCATGAGGCCCCACTGAGAGTTTTTAAAGAGGTTATAGGACATTTGCCCTGGCTGAGCAGAGTGTACCTTCCAGAAGCCTGAAGGTGACCGCCAGGCCTCTCAGTACTGGGCTGTCCAACACAGCAGCCACTGGTTACATGTGGCTATTAAAATTAAATTAAATTATAAATTCACTTCATCAGCTCTACCAGCAATTTTCAACCCATGTGCCACGAGAATTTTTAAAACATGTGATATCTGACTATTTAGTCAGGAGCACTGACCTCTTTTCCCTTAGTTTGTGGAATGAAAAGAAAGACAAGAGCAACGCAATAGCCATCCAGTATGAATGAATCAAGATTATACCTATTTTTTGTCAGATCAGCAAAAAATATATATTTTTTTGGTGTGCCACAGAATTCTAGTAATTAGTTTATGTGTGCCATGAGATGAAGAATGGTGAAAATCGCTGAGCTCCAGCAACCACATTTTAAGTCTTTAACAGCCACACTTGGCTGGTGGCGACCATATTGGTCAGCGCACACACAGAACGTTCCCATGATCACAGAACGCTCTACTGGACTGCGCTGAATGGACCGCGCAGTGCAGCGGTTCCGACATGGGGAACTAGCCTGAACCAGAGTCCTGAGTGTGAGTATGATGACGGACCACTGGCATGATGAACATCATAAGCTATCCTGAGATTTCACACGTGAGTGATTGGAAGACTAATGACACTCTCGTCAGAATAATTCGAGGGTGAAAGGGAATGAGTCACATTTTGGACAGGCGAGGTTTGGGCAGGCTTTTGTAGATTTTAGTCTTACAGCTTTAGCGGGCAGTGCAGAGTTGCAGGAAGGGATTCAAAGGAGGAGAAAGTTGCAACCCAAAGAACGCAAGCAATCTCAGGGCAGACAAAAAAGCAGGCCAGACCCCGTGGAGCATCTGTATTTAAGGGGTGGGTGGGAAAGGGGGTCAGAGAAGGAGCTCTCGTCACAGCGGGATCTTTTCCAGCCTTTACCTGTGTCTGTCACCTTGAGCCTTGCACACCGCCAGACCCGTCGCATGCAGGGCCGGCCACACCAGCCAGGACAGGCTTCTGCTCTGCCCGCATGTCACACAACATAATCCTCTTTGCAGCTGTCTACCTACGAGACATGCATGTGTGCGTATGTACACAATTCTTTACTGAAGTGTGCCATCTGCTCTGTAGGTGACAATTCTATCTAAAACAAAGAGGGGAAGTCCTTATTGTGAGTGCAGAGAAACTTCTAAAGAAAGTGTTCTCAAAAGTTTGGTTTTTATACATTACTCAGTTTTGAAAAGAAAGGAAATTCTGATAGAAACTGTAAGATGAATGAATCTTGTAAACATTTTGCTAAATTAAATAAACCAGATACAAAAGGACAAAAGCTATATGATTCCAGTTGGATGAGGTTCCTAGGATAATCAAATTCATAGGGACAGAAAGTAGAACAGTAATTCCTAAGGGCTGAGGGGTGGGGTGTCGCAGGGAGTTAGTGTTTAATGGGGACAGAGTTTCAGTTTGGGATGATGAACAAGTTCTGGAGAGGGATGACGGTCATTCTTGCACAACATTGTGACCCTCTTAATGCTACTGAATTGTACATGTAAAAATGGTTTAAACGGCAACTTGTCCACAATGGAAAAATACAAAAAAAATTTGTTTAAACTTTTATGTTATATATATTTTTGCCATAATTTCTAACATGTAAAAAGAATCTACGTTGAATACAAATGTTTGGAGCACCTTTGTCAGTTGAGGAGTTTCAGGGTATGTGTGTCCATTCAGGACTAACTGTATCTCCTGCTCTTGACCCTCAGTCCTCATAGGACTCACTGCTCCTTCATGCTTCTGCACAGTCATCATGCACTTGAACCTTGTAGAGCACAGGCACTAAAACAGAAGATGATGAAGACTAGTCTTGAGGCGAGGCTGGGCCCTAAAGGCAATGAAGAGAGCATCAGAAACCAAGTACTTTCCTAATAAAGGGACCATAAACACAATGTTTCTCTGGCCTTCTCCACTCCTTTCCACTGGAAAGGATCACATGTGACCAACTAGATCTGTGCCTGAATTTTGCAGTGGATAGAAGCCTGAGGGTTTGTTGTTACAGTGTTTTTTAACAACAACTAGGACACAGGATGGACTCAAGGTGCTATACTAAAAACAAAAAGGATTGTCCTAGGCTTGGCCCAAATGCTATACAGTATGAATTTGATTGCCTTTGTTTATGAGAAAATAGAAGTGAACTATGCAAAGGTTTAATACACTCTCTTCCCAGAGGGAGGAATTGTCGGTGGGGGGGGGGAACATTGTGCTATGGACTTGGTCTTCTGAGAGTCATAGGTCTTCATGGCTACCTTTCCACAAAAATAAAATGACCCACTTCTCCCCTTGAGTCCATGACTCTAACCCATAGTTGCTCATGCAGACACTAGAAGTGATGCACATTTTGCATAATTATGGTAGTTTCTGTGCCTGTAGCCATTGTCAAGCCTGGAACACACCTAAGTGGTGACTATTTTTGACATCCTGGACATGAGATGACCTATGAAATAGTCAGCAGTTGTAGAATGGGTTGATCTCACACCAACTGGGCTCCATGATGCCTCAAAGCTAAGAATGTCAGGAGGAAAGGCCCACACACTCAGCTCACCAGGGATGCTTTAAATAGCCCTTTCTCTGGATAATCTGTTCTGTTCTGACACCCTTTTAAATTTCTCTCCTTGTGGCAGCAGAATCCCAGTTGCCTTCTTTTGATCCCATGATGTGTGGCGTTTCCCATTTTCTAGGTCAGCATGCAGTTTCACAGGGGCGTGCTGGATGGGCTATAAAGTGAACAAAATGTTTTTCTAACTTTTCTACCTTTATTAAATTTCTCAGGGGTTCTTGAGACAGTGGAGGATGCTCAAATTCCACAATATTTGCCCAATTGCCACTTTGAGACTTGCTTAGGGTTCCCCATCTTCCAACTATTCTCTTGATAGGGAAAGACTAAACAAATTTTTTCTACTAAATTCCTCTCCAAAATAGGTTTTTTTTGGGGTGTAGAAACAGGAATACAGCAGGTGTTGGGGGGCTCCAGCAGGAGTTGAACTGAACATCTGGGTTCTTTCAAGTGCATAGATGGACAAGTGTTTTAGCCCTTGGATTCCATCACTTAGTAGATAAGTGCTTTCGACAAAGCCTGAATACAATTGATTGTATTATCTCCAGTAAATCCCACATCTGACCTGGGCCCTGTTAGTAGAGAACGCTATGACATCACAACTTGAGAGCCCAGTGGTTAAGCGCCTGTTTGAACCCACTCAGGACGCATTAGGTACAGTACATTTGGACAAGTGACTTGACATCTGTCATTGCACCCCTTCCTGATTCGTTAAATTGGTACCTACCTCACTGTGTTGTGAAGGTTAAATGAATTACTCTATAAAGTTCTTAGAAGAATTCCTGACACATAGACTGATAACGAGTGTCAGCTCTATTGTAATTACTATGTAAAACTTCTGATTCTTATAGTTGTTTACAGTCTTGGAGATACTTTAGCCAGCAAGTTGTATGATTGATGGCATAACACTATTAAGACAGGCAGCTAGTGATAGGCTCTTTGTTTAAATTTCCTAGGTATGTAAATGAGTGGCCTTCCAATTATAGGATCCACGATTGCAAGACTTGCAGCTTGATAATTATTCATTTTTTTGTCTTAGAGAATTGCTTGTACTTGTGCCTTTTAATCTTCCTCCTTTTAACAAAATCATGGTGTTCTAAAGTCTTTGAAAGTTTGGTTATAAAACCAACACCATAAAATATAAACAATACAAAAGAATATTTCATGTAATCACATAAAATTGTCTTTAATATGCTGTTGTCTTTCATGTGGTGAGATTCTGACCTCTATTCCTCACTCATAAAGGGGCTGTGTGTCCATTGTGCCACACACGTAGCATGCTTCTAAGTCTCAGATAAGACAATTCCCATGAATTACGTTGTCAAGCGAGGCATACTATATAAAAGCAAGCCTTACTGGAATTCTCATGGAAACAGATCCAACTTTGTCTTACAAGCATTGCCTTAAAACCAAATATTTTTATTTCCTTCCCTCATGATTAAATTTGTATATTGCATTTTATAATGTATTAATTAATGACTTTTTGTACTTTTGCAATATGCATTAGTGACCATTTCTTTGGTAAAAATGTACTAAAGGAGGTTATTAAAAATTACATTTAGTGGAAGATTTTTTTAGCAGACTTAGAATAATTCTACTAAATATTAAATACTTTTGAATTATTATTTTACCTTGGTCTCTCTTCCCTTGAACAGGAGATCAGTGCAGTTAATTACCTCACTATCCAGAAGTCACATTTCAGTGCAGACAAGAAGACTCGTATTAACATACCCGGATGGAAATCGGATGGAAAATGGCAGCAAGACATGTGTGATGTACGATGTGAACAAACTCTTCTTTAGTGGGAAAGTTTATGTTTAATGTGAATGGACTGTGCAGAGGGTGTTAATGCATATTCATGAATCCTCCATTCAGCTATTCACGTTGTCCATGTTCCAAAGCCTGAAGTGAATTATCCATTTCCTGTTTATCTTCACTTAGTATGAATTGCATAAATTATAATGGGAGCATATTTTTAAATTATCCTTTGATAATTCTCACCTTACACAGAAAAGATCGAATGGTATTATCAATTTCTTTTTTAATTTAAGGCAAACAAAATTTCTAAGTTCTCTTGAAGTAATTAAGTTCGCTGTCTTATACTGAAGATTAATACACTGCTAATAGCAAGCAATTATTTATAAGGCCCCATAGTGTGGTAGAATCAGGTCGTCTGAGTTCATATCATGGTTCTATTTACTGGCTCTGTGATCATGGGCAAGTTAATGTAAGTCCATATATAAAAGGGCCAGGACAGGGCCTCCATGTAGTACACCCTGCTAGTGTTATTTTTTATTATGAAATCAATTATTCAGGCACTTTGGTTTCCTTTCATTCTTCTTTCTTTACGCTTTGTGCTAGGTGCTGCTGAAAGTGGAAGATGTGAACTGCATTAATTTAGACTGGATTAACGGTTCGCTGGAATACATCCACGCTGTCAACAACCTCCGCGTTGCTGGAGCCGAGGTGGCCTATTTTATTGATGTTCTCGCGGTAAGAAGGGTTTTTTAAAAAAATTATATTTAATTGGTTTTGCATCAGCACACCAAGAATGTAGGGCAATTTCATGTTTTTTGTTTGTTTGTTTGTTTTTTTGTTTTTGTTTTTTTGTTAGCTTACACAAGTACTGAACACGGGAAATAGTAAGCGTTCCTGTGTGCGGTAGCCAGAAAAGAGACGCAGCTTCTTGCGCAAGTGCCTGTGGTTACACAAAGCGCCACGCGGTGGCAGTGTTCCTTCACGGGCTCCTCACCAAAGGCTTCCTTCCCTCGTCCTTCCCCCCTTTCAAGGTCGTCACTTTGATCTGCCTGTAGAACCGTCGCTGTTAGTTTTCACCACATTGTAAACCTGTCCTTAATGATTATTAACTATGTCCAGCTTATGAGTGCTATTTGTTTCAGAAATTGGATTCCAAGGCAGTCAATTAGGTCTGTAGGCGAGTCCAGGCACAACGCTTTAACCTATACATTTTACATATACATATACAAGAATAACATAGACTTTGCTATTTACAAGGGATACACCCAGAGACACTTGTAAATTGCCAAATGCTCTACCCTTATAGAAAGTAATTCCCCACCATAAAATGCAGTGAAGTAAAATCTAAAGACGTTTGACCCTTTCAGATTCTTAAGAGGGTTCGTTCCTGGAGTCAGCAAGCCCTGCGCCTTGCGCTGGCCGTGAGCCCGGCTCCCTTCCGGGCGCTGCGGGCGCGGTCAGTGAGGCCGCGGGTCTGCCCCGGCGCCGGCGCCGCGCGAGGAGCAAACCCGAGGCCACGGGGCGACAGTGGCTGCTCGGCGGCTTCGATGGGCGGCCAGGGACGGCGGTCCCGGGACACGGAGCGCAGCCAGGCAGCTCAGCCTGGAGAAGAATCGGGGAGCCCTATACTCGTTTCTGCCCCCGCACAACTCTCTCTGCCCCTCAGTGTGACGGGAGAGTAGACCCGAAGGAGGCACTCAGGGTGGGTCTTTGTATGCAAAGGAGGCAATCGGATGCACCTCCTCTTCAGAGAAAAACCAGTCCTAAGTCCTTGTGAACTTCTTCGTTGATCCTGGGGCCTGCCTTAATCCACGGGCTCCTCTGGGTCCCATGCCATCCCAGACGTCCGCCGGGGTCCCCTCAGACTGAAGGAGGCAGACACGGGCGAGGCGGACACCAGCCTGGGCGTCAGCTGCCTTTGGCCTGCGCTGGGGCCCAGCCGGCCGGACTGGGTCTCTGGAGGAGGGGCGTGGCTGGAAGCCACAGCCGTGGCCCCTGGCTGCTGTCCTGCCCCCGAGGACCCTGAGGTCCCTCCGCCCAGGGAGAGGGGCTCTGACGGAAGACAGTGCTCGGGGCCTGCCTGACGCACGCTCCTTGCGTCAGACAAGGGCGTGGGTGCACGTGGGGTCGCTTCGTCGCTCTGCCAGCCCCCCGGCCTGTAGAGGAGAGGGAGAAACATGCTGGCTCTTTTCGTATTTTAAACACATTTAAGCCATTCTACCTGCTCTTTTAAAAATATTTGTTCTGTTTTTCTTTTAAAAACCCCAACAGAAACAGTTTGGATATTCCCCTTCTAAAGTGCACTTGATTGGCCACAGCTTGGGAGCTCACCTGGCCGGGGAAGCCGGGGCAAGGAGGCCAGGCCTCGGAAGGATAACGGGTGAGCCTCCCCGGGAGCGGGGCCTTGAATTTGTGTACCTGGTTTTTTTTTTTGTTTTTTGTTTTTTGTTTTTTTACACACAAAATTAAGTATATGAACACCAGATGAAGCACTAGAAGCAAGTATAAAATACAGGGGAATGAGACTCACCTAAACCAAAACACGGAAGTGCTTTCAGAGCAGGAGTGTGCAGATCCATGTCCCAGGGCGTTCACCTCAGCATTGTCTGCGGTGGCAAAACAATGGAAGCCGGGTGATAGGCCACCTGTAGGGGAGGATTGAAAGAATTATGACACAGCCCGGGCTTTGCGGTTGCGGACGTGCTAATACAAAGAACGAGCTAGGGCCCCGCCGATGGTCCATCATTAAGCAGAGGTCATTATCTGCTTAAGCGATGTATTATGGGGGGTGGAGTTTAAAAGGAATGATTTATGTTTATAGTCAAACTGTCAAAACAGGGTTACAAAACTTCAGACTTGACTATAGCCTATGGTGAGTTACATTTACACGTGTCACCATAGATACTTGGGTTCCTAAGTAGGAGGTCTGTCCAGGAGGTATCCGGTCATGTAATATGAAAAATATAGACATTTACTGAAGGAGGTGCAAGATACAAGAAACATTATACACAGGACAATGATGCCTCAGTCCCATTTAAAGGAGGCACCTTGGGACCTCACACAGTTCTCCCAGTCGCTATCAGCTGCCCGGTTGAATTTTCCTTAAGCTCTTCGATGGTCTGAAATCTCTTCCCTTTCAAAGGTGATTTTAGTCTTGGGGAAAGCCAGAAATCACAGGGCACCAAATCTGGGCTGTAGGGGGGCTAAGTCACCTGGGTGATTTGATGTTTCTCAAAAAAACTCTGCATGAGACGTGATGCATGAGCGGGTGTGTTGTGATGAAGCTGCCAATCACCAGTCACCCATAGCTGTAGCCTTCAGAATCATCTGAATAGTTTCTGTGAAGGAATGTTAAAGCTTAACTCAAAATTTGACGCAAATTTGTTGCTCTACTCACTTAGTCATTTTGAATGTAACAGCCACACAGTACACATGCTCACTTACCAGCATCTACCGCCCCTACTGCCTAGTACAGTGAAGTCATCATTGTTCACACATGCGCATTCCAGTCCACTCTCCTTGGCTGCCAGGTTACATCGGTGTCACACAAACGATTTCTGTTATCTTAACGATGGCTGGACTTTTTCCGGACATACCTTTTATGCTCAGTTTATGTAGGTGCGCTTTGTCCTATGGTGTCCTGGGTGGAGTTTGACCTGTGTAAATCATATAGAAAATTGTGCCTTGCCTTCACTGCCTATCCTTCCAAAATAGCACCCCCTCAACGTATGCTTGAGTGGAGTGTGACTCGGCCTCACAGACATCGTGCTTTTTCCCAGGGTTGGACCCGGCCGGGCCATATTTCCACAACACTCCGAACGAAGTCAGGCTGGACCCCTCGGATGCCGACTTCGTCGATGTTATTCACACCAATGCAGTTCGCTTCTTCTTTGAGTTTGGTAAGTTTTTAAGAAACAGAAACTACACTAAAGCAAAGAGGACAATTCCAGAAGCATTCATCCTGCTTTTTATCTGCTTCAGGTGCCGGAACTATTAATGCTTGTGGACACCTTGACTTTTACCCAAATGGAGGGAAACATATGCCAGGATGTGAAGACTTAATTACACCTTTATTTACATTTAATTTCAGTGCTTACAAGAAAGGTAAATACTTTCTAAAATAGGAAAGCTGTTGTTACATATTGACTCAGCTCCCTCCTTGGGCAGGATTCACATCCTTTTGTATAGAATAGAATAGAATAGAATAGAAAAGAAAAGAAAAATATAGTTTAATCCAAAACAGAGTCCCGTGTATGGCACTCCCACTAGCTGGGAGATCTGCAAGGTCAGGTTCATGTCTGACTACCTTCGTGTACTCAGTGCCTAATAGCATGTCTAGCATATTGTAGTCACTCATCATAAACAAGGAGGGTCCCTTCACTCAATAAATGTGTGCTGAGTGCTTACAGGGTGCCAGACATTATTCTAGGAACAGCAGGCGTAGGAATGAAAACAAAAAGACAAAAATGTCTTTCTGTCAAAGCTAATATTCTCACTTGCTAGAAAAACAGTGATAGAATAAGTGCTAAGGAAAGAAAGTAAAGCGTGGAATGGGGGGACGATGCGCTGCGATGAGTAGGGGTGAGGGGGAGCGGAGCTTTTTGATAGGGTGGCCAGGGAGTCCTTTCTGAAAAGATTGCCCGAAGGAGTTAGGCATGTGGATACCTGGGGGAAAGGCATTCCAGGCCGAAGGGTGAGGGTAGTGGGTGCAAAGGGCCTGCGGCAGGAGCCTGCCTGGGAGGTTCCCGGCAGTGAGGAGCCTGTTGTGGCTGCAGTGAAGTGCGGAGGAGGGGGGTGGCAGGGCATGGGGTTAGGAAAGGAGCGGTGACAGCGGGAGACAACACAGGGCGCAGGGACGCCAGTAAAGGCCTCAGCTTGTGCTCCAGGGGGAAGGGGGCGTGGGAGGATTGTGAGCAGAAGAGAGAAGTGGTTTGACTTAATTTTTAACAGGCTCACTCTGGATCACAAATTACATTAATCATAAATTAAACAAGTAGTATTTAACCTTTTATAGTGGTTTCAAATAATAATAATAATAATATCTACAAGGCACTCAGTTAGAAGGCACCAAAAAGTTATAATTTGGGAATTGCACTCCTCCCCACCTGTATATATCATCATCATGTAAATAATTAAATGTATTATATGTAACATATAATGATACATAATAGTACAATGTATGATGGCATAATAAATATCTGGATGATTCCAAATATCTCACTGCATAATCCCATGTGGGCAGAATATCTAGACGATGTGATTATTTGGTCTTATGTTTGGCTAATGCAGAATGCAAACCGTGACATTGAGAGGAGCCCGAATTTCTTCTTCTTCCCGAGAGATGAGTTACAAAAGTTTTTCGATATCTGTTCCCTGAGAGGAAATGTAATTAAAAGTATCTGTAATTAAAAGCAAGGGTTACTTGTAAAAAATCAGAATATACAGATACTCAAAATCAGAATTAAAACCAACCCCACCTAGTACCGATAGACAGTATTTGTTCAAAAAAAGCCTATATAAAACTTAGTTCTCTTATTTTTCCATATTACGATTTAAAATTCTCCCTATTGGGACAAAATATAGATCGTAAGACTTCTTTATATAACTATAGAAAGTGTTATACCCAGAGCATTTGATGTTCTGGGAAGAATGAATTCAAGCAAAACACGCATTTGTCATAAGCTATCATTTTGAGACATAAGATTTTCTGCAACTTTATTGAATTAAAATCACATGTATCAATCATGTTAGGTCTTTAGGTGAGTTTTAAGTCTTTAAAATATTCTACTTTACAATGTAATTATTACTGAAAAGTCATTACTTTTAAAATTCAGAGTTCCCTATATTCTAATGAACCATCTTGTCTAAATCACAAGTACTTGTGAATGTAAGTCTTTATATAAAGAGAGCTTATGTAAAAGAATTCCCCATGTAAAAAATAAAAAGGATAATGCCAATTATTGCATTTGTGAAATTGTACTGTCTCAGTTACCAACTGCATAACAAACCACGGTGCTTAAAACAGCAATGGTTTTATGTCCCGGACTCTGAGGCTCAAGATTCAGGCACAGTTTCTGCAGAGACTCTGCCTTGCCACGTGTCCACTGGGGTTGCTCATGTGATGAACCCGCTGGGGGATGGGCTGGGCTAAGCTGAAAGGGAGGCCCAACATGGCCTCCCACGCCTGGGGGCTTGGTGCCTGTTCGCATTTTTAAGTTATCCCTCAGGGCCTCCCTCCCCTGCCAGTTAACCTGGATTTTTTTAGCATGGAGGCTTGTGTTCTGAAAGACCAAGAATGGATGCTGGAAGGTCTCTTAAGACCAAGACCCTAGAACTTGCACTGTGTCAGTTCTTCGACTTCCTATTGGTCAAATCAAGTCACAAAACTAGCTGCAACCAGGAGGGTGAAAATATAGGTTCCAGCTCCTGAAAGGAGGAATAGCAACATGGTACTGCAGAAGGACAAGGACCAAGAAAGGAGTGATTCGTTGGAGGCTACTGTTGGAGAATAATGATGTACCGCATATACTAAAACCAAACTCTAGTTTCTTAAAGATCAGCCGAGCAGCGTAGGTCATTGGAACAATGGTTCATGCCATACAGTAAAAATGTTATGTAAGGTGAAGAGAGCACAAACAACTGGATGCTGTGATATCTTCAGAATTACACAAATGTATTTAGATCTATCTTATTAATTATTGCAATAATCCTAAATGTTGGTGCCAATAAAGTTATGCCTGACAATGACAAAACTAATCGGTCTATAGCATCCTTTATAACACCTCCCACCTGTCACACTGGGAAGCTCAGCTGAAGATGTGCGCTGGTTAACATTGCTGGCTGTGTGTATTTGAATAGGAGGGAGCTCGGTCCTTCCTGCAGAGACAGAGAGACAAGAGCAATTGGCCCAAGGAGGTGCTATATGCACAGGGAGACTCCAAGCTCTGGGTGCTTATGTCGGAGATCTGGGCAATTTGGAGGATATTAGTGTCAGAGCACAGTCATCCACATTTGCATGTGTTTATTTACTCTGCTTCAATGTCCCTTTAGATTCACACAAAGAATTCTTTGGTACAAAGAAAAGGCTATGTAATATTGACAAATGTGCAACATCCAAACGTCTAGACCTAAGTCAAGGAAAGGCCATTTAAAGTTACTTTTTAAAGAAATGGTTCATACTTTCAGTTATCAGTTAATCCGTTCATTGCTATCAGTTAATTGCAAATTGTTTTTGCAGAAGTGGCCTCCTTCTTTGATTGCAACCATGCCCGAAGTCATCGCTTTTATATGGAAAGCATTCTCGACCCTGATGCATTTATTGCTTATCCTTGTAGGTCCTACGAATCTTTTAAAGCTGTAAGTAAAGCACTTTGCAGTGGAATTTAATTTGCAAGTCATTTCTGAAGCATGATCAGCCAACTAAAAATTAGGGCTTTGAATTTGTGGTTTAAAAAAAAAAAAAGGCATCTACCACTTTGGGAAATAGTAAATCTGTACTGAGTACTGAACAGCAGCAGAGTTTGCTGAAAGGCTTAAATAAGTAAACCCACTATTTGTATTCTGGTTGTTTCAGCTCTTTTGAACATTATATCCAATTTTCCTTTTTGGCCATTTGTTATGCAGTAATTAGATGCTATTGTGTAACTGGAATAAGTCCAGGGCAAAAATTTTTCTATGTATATATTTTAAATGTCATCTTCAAAAATGCCCCAAGAAAGCTGAACCAATCAATCGCTACAAACAAACATGTTACTATTCACTTGGAACATTAAAATTATTTTATTAAAATTTAATTATTTATACAGAGCAGAACTGAGGCAGAGATAGCTCACAGGAGCTCCACACAGATCAATACGTGACAAAGTACCAAATCTGATTTTACTTGAGTCATAAAGCCCGCAGTGCCGGATCTGAGCTGAGCATATTTTTCATTTGGTTATCACTATGAAAAGGAGAAAGAAAATCTATTTTGTAGTGGGAAATGGAAAGATTTTCCCTCTTGTGTTCAGAGACCACTGTTCGATCAAAGTAGAAAAACATCGAAGGGGCTCCATCTGAAGTTTATTGTAAGTAATAGCACTTTGTGAATAAGTTGGGGTAGGAGTAAGCATTTCTCTCCCGATAACAGAATAAGGTGAGTGGATGCCCTCAGGCCATTTTCTCGTTTCCGAGCCAGTCGTCCTTACTCCGAAGGTGCCCCGGTGAACTATTCTCAGAAAGCTTGACAGCCTAACATGGACATTCCCCCATAACTTCCTTTCCCTCCACCTCCCCCTTCTACCTGCCTGGATGCTGCTCTGAATAGCTAAAAGGTCCTGGCCTTTACTATACAGGTAGAAGCAGACCTTCAGACTCACGATATACTCAGAGATAATGGGGTTCAATCTGCCAGACTAGAGAACCTTAGGCTCCTGTTCCACATGATGCAAGTTACGGTTGCACTCTTAGTGAACATTCAGTCGATTTCCTTGGCATGTTTTCTGGTATTTTTACCCAAACAGTCATAAAAATAAAATAGAGTAAAATAAAATAAAGAGGGTTTCTAGCATCAGGCTGCTCCAGTCCATATTCTTGTTTCATCATTTACCAGATGTGCAACATTGGACAAACTGTTTAACTTCTCTGTTTCAATCTCCACATCTGTAAAAGAAGGGAGGCTAAAAGCATTAGAATAATAAGGGACTTTGTGAGGACTAATTGAGTTAAATGCACATGAAGTTCTTAGAACAGTGCCTGGCACATGATAAATGCTCAGTAAATGTGAGTCATTATTATTTTTCTTAGAATTTTCCTTTGTTAAAAATGAAGTTTTAGTTGAGGGGAGACAGAGACAAATGTATTTAAAAATAAATAAAGAAAGAAATAAAAAAAATGAAGTTTTAAATGGGGTGTTTTGCTATAGTCCTAGCCCAAATATCCACGGCTTATAAATCTAAAAGAGCAAATACTCAAAGAGTGCGACTCGAGATTTTTTAAAGTTAATGTCTTGTTAGTTTTGCTTTAGATTTGAAAACATACAAATAAAATTAAAGAATTTAAATACCTTACATTTCCTCACTACCTTCCCTAAAGCAGAATTTGATGTGAATCAGATATATATCAAATAAATAGCATCATACTATAAGTATCTTTCTGGATTTGCTTTTTTTGTTAAATTTTATAAATTTGAAGTCTACATTGATGTATATAGATCTATATATTTATTTTGTAGGAATCAGCCACAATTTATTTATTCAGATAAATTAAAAAATTGTGCATTTTGATGGCTTTCAGTTTTTTGTTATTAAAAGCAATTTGGCAATAAACACCTCTGCATGTCTTCCTTCGTACTTGGGTGGAAGTTTCTTGGTGATGTATACCAATAATAGAAGTAAGATTGTCAAAGTATATGAGCATTTCCGTCTTTATTAGGCATTACCAAATTGCTTTCTGCAATTTCTGTGAATTTATATTCTCATCAGAAGCAAATGAGAATCCCCCGCTCAATGTCCTCACCAGCACTTGGGTTTGCCAATTGTCTGAATTTTTGCAAATCTGCTGAGTATGAAAGTGCATGTTGTTTTAATTAACACATCCCCGACAGCAAGCAAGATGGAACGTCTTTTTACAGAGGAGTGACTGTCTGAGTCTCCTTTTCTGTGTGGGTTGTCTATCGTCGTTGTTTACCCCATTTTCCTAAAAGGCCATTTTCCTTTTTCTGTCAGTTTTTGTCTTATTATGTTTTGTTTTTGAAAACAGGCAGGGTAGCCCTTTAGGCAACTTAGTCATTTTTAGGTGGCTTGTCCTTTATTTAAATTCCAAAGATTTATTATTGTTTAATACTATGTCATAAATTTGTCCAAGGACATTTCTAATTACATTCCTGATTGCCTCTTGTTTTCTGTCACCAGGGAAATTGCTTCCATTGTCCCAAAGAAGGTTGCCCAACAATGGGTCATTTTGCTGATAGATTTCACTTCAAAACTAGGAAGCCTAATAGATCCTATTATTTTTTAAACACTGGGTCTCTTTCCCCATTTGCACGTAAGTATTATAACTAAGTTTTATTGTAATGCTTGAAGGTGCTTATCTTTTAAATTTTAACAGCTCATACTGAGGATCTATTAAATAAGTGGGCAGCGGGCCAGCCTTTACAGATGCAGAGAGGGATGATGGGTAAGTTTAGGCTAATGGAGAAGGTGCCGCAAAAAAAAAAAAAAAAAAAATCTCAGTTCCAATAAACCTTGTGTTAGGAGACAAAGGAGGAACTTCCACCACCAGGTCAGGGAAGTGTTCTGAGGGAGAGTGATTTCTGAACTGACTCCTAAGAGACTATAGGCAGGAGAAGGAAATGGGGAGTATTGGTGGCAAAAGGAATTGCGTAGAGGTCAGAGAGAGCAAAGATCAGGAGGAGAGTAATGTGAGATGCAGCTGAAGAGGTAAGTGGGTCAAATAATGAAACTGTGCACTGTATGAGGAGTTCGGGCTTCATCTTTGGGCTCATGGAAAAACCACTGAAGTATATTATGATTATCAGGTTGTTCTTTTTAGAAAAATCGCGCTAGTTAATTGCCACATGGATTAGACAGGGACAAGGTGAGGCAGAGTGACCGGCTAGAAAAGTGTTATCGCCCCACTGTGTGAGGTGATGGCTGCGTTGACTAACTTTATTGTGGTTACCGTTTCACCATATCTGTAGCATATCAAATCATCGCGTCATACACTCTAAAACTCCCCAATGTTACAAGTAAATTTTATCTCAACCAAGTTTGAGAAAAAAAGAACAGTTGTTGCAACAATCCAGGCGGAAAGGTAGAGAGACATGGAGAGAACAGAGAGATGGTCGAGAGGTCACAGCAAAAACGAACTTGGTGAAAGGATTTGAGGGATGCAGGAGATGGCGAAGTCAAGGTGGTCCTGGCTGAGTGGATCATGGGCCAATTTCTGAACTTGGTAACACAAGAACAGAGGCAGGTTTCAAATAGGTTCAAGGGCTCAGCTTCTAACATGGTGAGTTTGAGATGCTTCTAGGACTTAGCCACTGGGCAGTGAGAGGTGCGGGTCACAGCCTCTGGAGATGGCTGTGGTCTACAGATGGACATGTGAGAGTCACCCACATTTAGACAGTAACCATGGCTGTGAAAGTCAATGGTATAATGACCCAAGAGAAGTGTTTCCAATTGACAAGAAAGAGAGCAGAGAGAGAGGCCCCTGCAAAGGAGACTGAGGAATGGGCAGAGGGAGAAGGGGAATCGGTGTAGGGCAGCAGTTATTAAAGGAGCCAAGGAAAGAAAGACGACGAGGAAGGGAGGATGCCATCCCTGCACCAAATATGCTGAAAGGTCAACGGAGACGGGGCCCAAAGGGGCTCATGGAATGAAGCACGCATTTCACCACTGGTGAGCTTGGGGACAGTGGTCCCACTGGAGAAGGAGCAGAGGGAGCCTTATTGCTGTGGGAAAGAGAACTCTTTGGCAATGATTCGCTCATGAATTGAAAATTCTTTCTGGTAGGATTTTTTTCCATTTCTGATGCGTTTCAAACAACTCTATGAAGAACTGCATTTTTTTTTCAATGTGCTATGAAGCATGCAACAATTACAGACTTCAGAACAAAACATCTGTTTAGCTCTATAATTTTTTTAATGTTACACTTGACCGTTTGCAAGGGGTGTTATCCTGTCGGCAGGTTTGCGCCGACCCAGACCTGCACCGGCTGGGCACCCCTCGCACACAGCCTGTGGGAGGGGAGGCGACAATTCACGTCACCTCTGAAGTAACCATAACAGCACAGATCCTCTTGCCCAACAAGTTTTCTAGATTTTTTCCGGGTTCATTGTCAAACTATGGCATATAAAAAACCTGGCTGTGGAAAGGAATACATGTCGCAGAGTACGAGGAAATGAACAGAAGAAGGCACGCAACTTCCATTTTAAAAAGTCCTACAATGTCTGGAAAATTGAAGAATTTTCTTTCTAAAGTATCACGAAACTACTGATTTGTAGGACATTGGGATGTGAACATTTATATGTATTTTTAAATGTAGCTTTTCACCAAATTCATTCCAATTATGCAAAGTTTTTTTTTTCATGAACGTGAACAGCCTTGTTCCACTTGAACCCCGAGAGTTACAAAGCTGCCTTTGCATTAAAATGCCCAAGCTGTCCTGCTTTCCACACATTTTTAACCCTTCACTTTTCTCTCTTTCGAGGTTGGAGGCACAAATTGTCTGTCAGACTCAGCGGAAACAATGCCACTGAAGGGAGCATATTTCTCCGTGTGAGGGGGATGACTGGGAAGACGGAGGAGCTTGGGGTGGCCAGGTAGGTGAGCGCCAGGTGCCAGCAGGCCACACGGTGCTGGCGCCGCTCTGACAGGTCCAGTAAGCAGCTCCATGTCGTCTTTTCCTGTGAAACCACATCTATCATGTTTTAGCGGACCTGCCCTTTTACTCTGTGTTTTCCAGATATAAAATAGAAATCATAATACATACTTTCTCCACAGTTCAAGCTACAAACAGAAAATGTTAGGAGATGATAATCTGAAAATATAGACCTGGATAATGAAGCAAGTGGGGAAAAGCTGTCTTATAAGGAGAATAAACCAGATATATAGCTATCCTGTTATTCAGTCCTTTTAATATTATACAAATTCAGCATATATTTTTGTGTAGATTTTCAAATGACTTATAAAATAAGACATTTATATCAATCGCCAGATTTCTAATAAGCTACCTCAGTGGCACCCATAAATACAGGACATGTGTTGAAACAGTCAAAGTACAAATAACTCAGTAGAGACATTCAGCTGTGTATCTAGGGCTACAGTCCCTTTTATCTTGAGTCTTCTTTAATCATTTCTTTGATCAGCCTTTAGGACTTTTGTATTACATATCTCACTTTCATTGTTTACTTCTGTAAATCATTTTAGAATTACCATTACACATTAATTAGATGTTCCCCTTTTGCAAACTGATGAAAGGATTAAATGCTTTGCCTCTGATATTCATCATCTTCAAATATTGGGCAGAGGTTGTGTGGTTATTTTCTCATGTGAAGGATGCATCGGATGAATCATTCTGGCAGAGTCTGTGCATCATCCTGCCCTGGGGCGACTGCCTGCCAACATGGGTTCGGCCAGTGTCATCAGGATCCTAGTTAAAGCCCAGGCCCAGCCCGCCTGTCTGGCCACGCTGGCCACGTCTGCCACGTACGGCTGTGATCACCTTCAGCTCATTCAGGCTGCCCTGGTTGCACTGCCCAGCATTGAATAGATCCCTACCCTCTCCTCCCTGGCCATCTTCACCTGTGCTCCTCCTTCATTCCAAACCCCCTTCCCTGGATTAGCATCTCGCTTCTGCATGCCTCTGTGACCCCCTCAACACAACTGTGTGCCTGTGACTTTGAGGCCCACGACCTCTGCCCAAGGCTGTGTGGTTGGTGCCCTGCACAAAAGGGCCTGCTCTGGGGCAGGGGGTGATGAATACTCAGTTCCTGCCCCTCCTGGGACTTGTGAGAGTGTTTTGACATTTCTGTACATCTAATGCGTGAAGAAGCTGTTTGCAATGTTGTTATGTAGGTACCCAATCCTCTCTTAAGAATTATCAAGCATTTCAGGTTCCCACTAGATGTCTCATCTTCAAATGAAGTCAGCTGTATGAATGGGTATGCTAGCCTATTCGGTCAAGCTTTAAGTCTGTAGATTATATTCTAGTTATTGGAACTTCTAATGGCAGTGTCACGAACGGCCATCCCATGTGTGCTGAGAGGAGGCAGTTCAGGGAGCCATTTGGGAGAAAAGTTGCCTTCTGGTCATTAAATCAATTAGTTCTACACCTAATGGAATGAAACGGGCCCTAGGAATAGCAACATTCGTTCATTCATTCAGCAAACATTTAAATGCCTACTATGTGCCAGGAAGTGTTCAAATTGCTGGAAATATAGATATGGTCCTACTCTTGAGGAGCTTACATTCCAGTTAGAGGAGACAGACGATAAATTACCAAAGGAGTAGGGAAACAGCAGGAATAGGAAAGCTTCAATTTTGGCCTGGATAAAATATGCCATATGCCACAGATACCCCCTTCCCTCTGCTCTTGTGCCATGACTCCAAAACATCTTTTGATTCCCAATTCTTTTGATAACGATAAAGAAGGTACCAGGGAAGGACAAGGAGACCATTCTGGTTAATAAAAGGAAACATTTTTCCATTGCGAACTGATAAACAGTCTTATAGTTATAAATCAGTTTTGGGTGAATTAGCCCATTATTGATGGTATCATCATTTCCTGGTGTCAATAAAACCTGCTTTCTGATACTACAAAGCCAAGACCAGATCGATCATTATGGAGAACTCATCAAGATAATGCCCCTCTAGGCATCCCCCCAAAATCAACTAGTCAAGCTTCCCATTTACCTCACTCTTCCCTCAAGCTTCGGAACCATGCTATTCTGAGAATGCTGACCGATATGAATAGAAAGAATAAATCTCTGACAAGCAAATGCAGCTTCCTCATCCATGGTGCACATGCAGATGCCTTTCACTTCAGCATGGCCACTACCCAGTCTGAAATTATGAGTCTTACTTTTCTGTTTACAGTGGAACACTTCAGCCAGGCATGACGTACACAAAATTAATTGATGCAGGAGTTAATGTTGGCAACATTACAAGCATTGAGTTCTTTTGGAAGGAACATTCATTTGGACATTCCCAGAATAAGTTGGGAGCAGAAATGGTGATAGATATATCTGGAAAATATGGATATGAGTAAGTACGACTTTTCTCTGCGTTTTCAAACACAGTTTAAATTTTGTGGAAGTGGTATTTGAAACCTGCATATAATTTGAAATTCGCAACTAGTATAAAAATTTGTACATCTTGAAATTTTGCAATTAAAGAAAAGAAAGATTATTTAATCAACACTATATTTGCAAAAGTGTTTACAAAATAGTAATTACTCATTAATTAAAAGATCTACCAATGTCTCTCCCCCTGCCCCAGAATCATATTAATATCCTTTTTTTTCCCCTTTACATTTTTCAGATCTACCTTCTGTAGCCAAGACATTAAGGGACCTGGTACTGCTCAGACCCTGAAACCATGCTAATCCCAGACACAGTCTTGATGGATTTATTTAATGGGACCATGAAAAATAATCTCCGTTTAGTTGGTAGTCGGACTAAACTTGGCCTTTGTAAATAAGATAGAAAAGTATGGTTATTTTTTTCTGTATAGAATATTTTGCTCATTGATAAACTTTTATATGTACCTTAAAAATAGACTGGATCCTAGGACAGAGTATAAGACTGACCTACAGGAATCTGGAAATCAATGAAGAAACAGGGCCATGCCAGGATGTCCCTGAATGAGAGGAGGAGATGCAGTAGCATTGTTGTAAGCTCCCAGGACAAAGGGAGGCTCTCTGGTTGAGTGAAGCGTGTTTTGAGTATTTCCAGGTAGAATAGTCATTGTTCTAAAATGATTTAAAAAATGTTTATTATGTCTTTAAAACTTGCTTTGACAAATTATGATGATAGTTCATGATATACAGATTATAACCCTGTGGGTTGATAATGTTTATCTACTAAGAATGAAAACTAATGGGAGTACATTAGTATTTCCAAGGTTTTCCTTGGTCTTCAGGGTATATGTGAGATAAGAGAGATTTTGGAGCATATATACAGTGTGTATCAGTGGGCAATGGGCCTGAGGATCATCAGCCCCTTCTAGAGCCCTCCTGAGGCAGGAGAAGCTCTCAGCCCTCTGGATCTTAGAGGCCATGATACAAATTATTTAGCCTGAAGGCAGCATTCATTTGTAAAGCACTTGACTAATGCTTTGTTTTCACAATAACAATATTGTTATATTTAAATGTGTCCATTGCGGTTTTTTTCTTTTATTTTGCTTCAGTTTCCTCTAACTCGGTTGTCCTCATTCCAACAAAATAGGACCACAGGCATGGAAACGCAGAACAGGCTGACAGCGACCAGAGGGGCGGGAGGAGGGGGACAATGGTGGAAAGGATGGGAAGGGGCCGGACGAAGAACACGTCTGAGTGACCCACGGGAGCGGGCAGCAGTGTGCGGGCTCACTGCGGGGGCGCGGGTGGGATGCGCGGAGGAAGGCAAAGGGGGAAATATTAGGACACCTGGAATAGAATAACAGTAAAAAATGATTTCATTTAAAAAATGAAAATGAAAGGTGGCTATTTTATTACTCTGCTCTCTCCCACTGGGCTCAGTGCTTGGGTCACAGCTCTGTGCTGTAAATATTGTGGAAAAGAAGTGTTGACAGAAACTCTGCAGAGGGTTTCTTGCTTCTCCTTGGCACCCCACAACCAATGGAAGCTTACAAAGAGAGGCTTGGCACCCCATGGGTGGACGTCAACTTGAGCTGCGGCAGAAAGCAGAGAGCAAAGTCGGGGCTCTTTGCCCTTGCGCAAGGAGGGTATAGAAGATTGATTGGTAGAAGGAGGAAAGAAGATGGGACACGTTTGGCATGACTTGGCTGAGTGTCCCTCCCTGCTGGGCACATCAGCCCGAGGCCTAGGCCAGCCAGGAGCAGGGTGGCCATGAGCGCCCCACCTGGGAGGGTCTGAGCCCTGCTGTGTGTCTGCCCTTCACCCAAAGCAAGCTGGCTACGGAGTTGATTCCAAGGGGGCTGGAGCGGACCTCACTGTGAGAGCAGCGGTCCTGGGCCTGCACTGCTCTCTTGCAGCCCAGTCTTCCTTTCGGGAAGGGCTCACCAACCGGGATGTGACATTAGGCTCTGTGGGTCCTGGCCAGTCTCCTTGCCCGGGAGGTCTCTTGGCCAACTCTTTCTAAGCTTGAAAAGAGAAATGAGAGTCAATTTCTGGGAACCCTATTTTAATAAAATACAGACGTTTTGTCCCATAGTTCCTAATATTTCTCCCCTTTTTTTGCATTTTAAGAATATTGTGAGGGTGAGAAATAGTACATGGGCTATCTGGGCAAAGGGATTCTGAAAGGTCAGGGAGAGAACTTGTTATCTGTGCATACTGTTGCTAGGACAGCTCTAAAGACAATACTTCTTTTCCTCTCTGAGTGCCCTGTATTATTGTAGCATGGTGTCTGGGGCCTGCAGATGTTCAGGAGAGGCCTGTTAGGAAGTTCTTCTGCTTCTTGAATGAACTGCCATTAACGCTGAAAAGTGACTTCCAATCCAACTAGCCATTCACTTCCTCCACTCCCCATTGCCATTGACTCCCACTCATAACTTGTCATCGTATCAACCACAAATGCCCACCTCCAAACTTGCTCATTGGAGCATCCCCCTCTTCAACAGAGCAGCCTCCTTCAGGCTCATAAGGTGACATTCTCAGAGCTCTTTGTGGCTTCTGATCCCTTAGCCTTCTACTTCCTTGAAATCCACCAACCCATTTCCTTTTATACCCTGCTTAAGTTGCCTGATTATTTAGTCCAGTAATAATGCTACTAATGCCCTGAACTCCCTATTTTGGTGGGGGGGAGGGTTTGCACCCTGTCAGGCAAAACCTCAAACTGAAGGCAGCCAGTGTTTCTCGTTCTCTAACCCAGCACCCCAACAGCTGAGTGCTATTGGGACGATGGCATCACAGGGAGGACATACAAGACTAGGAATCGGTCACTAACACTGTCCGGAAACTCTACGCGTGTCTTTGTTTTTGAATTTTGGTTTTTATACACATCTCATCCTGAATTTCCTCCTACTTTGTACAGAAAACAGAGGTCGTCAAGAGAGCAAATATCTCCTCTTTGTGATCCAAATATACCCGGCACCTTCATCTGCGTCCACTCTATTTTTTCCTTTCTACTGGGACAGCCTCCCCTTCTCCTATCCAAGACCAGTGCCTGCCTGTCCATTGGCTCTCCCCCCTTCCTCCTTTCTTGGGACTCTTACCCTATAGGGTTCATTTTCTTTCTTTTGTATATTCAAGTTCTCATTGCATCCATTTTTTAAAAGTCTAAGTCTGTCCCATTGGGAGAAAAATCATTGTCAACCTTAAATTCCCAGATGCTCTGATCTGACCTCAGAACAGCTCTCGCCAAGATTTCCCATGACTGCCAACCACTAAGCCAAATGGGAGATTTTTGTGCTTTCATTCCATCCCTCAGCAGAATTCAACACTGTCAAGTCCCTCCTGCTCTCTTTCTTTTTAAAATTAAGAAATGTTTTCTCTTTACTTTTTATTGTAGAAATTTTCAAATATTCTCAGCAGCAAGGAATACCTGTGAACCGGTTTAACTGTTCATATTTTGCCAATTCTATCTGATGAGTGCATACACAAACACACACTCCTGTTTTGTTTTGTTTGTTTTTGCTGGAGTAGTTCAAAGCAAATCCTAGACATACTACTATTTCTCTCATTTACATACTTTAGTATGTAATTCTAAACCACAAATTTGTTTAACATACAAACTACCCATTTGTTAACAATAATCATGCTTAAATGAATTCAAAGTTAACTTTAAAAAATTAACAATTCCTTAATATCATCTTACATTCTGATTGTATTTAAATTTCCCATATCATCTGACAAATGTCCTTTGGCAGTGAGTTTGTTTAACTTGGGATCCAAACCAGATCCACACATTACCTCTAATGGCCTTGTCCCTAAGCCTATTTTCATTTATAACAGTTCCCCTCTCCTTCTTCCACACCATATTGTTGAATAAACCAGATCATCTGTCCTGTAACATTTCTCACATTGAACTGTGGGATCGCCTCACATCATTTAGTGCTTTTCTCTATCGCATATATTTCTTGTGAACTAGCACATCTTTGGAGGTATTCGATGAGCCTCAGGGTCCTCTCCGCTAGGTAGTGCGGGAATGACCATCTACCTGCTGGCCTGCGGGATGGGAGTTCTCTGCACCTCCCTTACAGGTCTCAACCGCTCACCTGTCTTTTTTTTAAATGTCAAGGATCATGCATATAGTAGCTCTTTATAAACCTGAAAGGCCTGTACCAGTAAGAGCCGTAGGCAAATTAGAATATTGGGTGGTTTGGAATCTAGCTGTTTGATGGCAGGGGGAGAGGAGAAAGGGGACTTGATGAAGGTGAACCAGGTATAACCTCTGAGGGGACTGGAGCGAGGGGCACACGGTTGTTACAGACCCAGTTCCGGGAGAGGCACTGAAACCTCTGTACCAGACAGACCCGGAGCTGGAGGAGGCAGGTAATCGATGCTCCAGTGGAAGCTCAGGGAAATCCCGATACTTGGTCAAATTGTGCAACTATTTCCCTAGGCTCCTCAGATCAGAGTAAACAATAGAAATGCCCTGTTTAATAGAGCCCTCAGGTCGTGTTGACTCTGCAGCTCTCCAGAACAGAGAGCCTCAGAACAGCGTATAATTTATGCTATGGTGTTGTTTCCCAGCCTTTTAAAACCAAGCTCATGTTAGATAAACATAAAAGTCTCCTCTCCCTCCTGGGGTTTTACTCCCTCACTTGGGAAAAATCAATCTTTTTAAAATATCCTCTAGCCAGAAAGATTTTGTAAATCTTTACTCTCTGTAGATTGTTCTAATAAAAATGATAGGTGTGTTTTGTGTTTTGTTATTTTTTCCCCCAAATACATGCTGATGTTGTAATACCAGACCAGCTTTTAAAAATTTTTTACACGTGTTTCTTCAGAAGTTCTGCTCTAAATGATTTAAGTCTTATACTCAGAAGAGTGGAGTCTCCCTAGGAGCTTTTATTCCAATACGAAAGGTGATTGTTTTCTATGTTTGAGTTTTGCAAACATTTAGCCTTTACATAGCCACATATTTTTCTTTCATTTTTATTGGCTTTTTATTCATTCATTCAACAATTATTTACTGAGTTTTCCTTATGTGTCAGGCATTGTGCTAAATCATGAGGTTACACAAAAAAACAAGATCTCAAGAGGTAGTCCCTGCTCATGAGGTAGGCTCAACCCTGAAGAGGACACAGGAGAGGACACCGCCGATCACAGGCGCAGGCACGAGGATGGGAGCCGCAGAGAAGAACCAGGTTCCTTGATGGCCACTCTTACAGCCCTCGTCCTCTGCTCATTGATCTCCTGTGGAAGCAAGAGCAACAGGGAGAGACACCGGCAGGTTTTCATTTCTGAATTCTGTGGTC